GTGGCGGCGCGACGTGGCGCAGACGGCGGAGGAGCGCCTGGGCCGGCCGCCGGCCGAGGGCGCCGAAGGCCGCTCGGAGGCCGAGCGCATCTTCCTGCACATGGGCCGCACCATGAAGGAGGACCTGGAGGCCGTGGTGGAGCGGCTGAAGCCGCTGTTCCCCGCCGAGTTCGGCGTGGTGGCGGCCTACGCCGAGAGCTACCACCAGAGCTTCGCGGCCCAGCTGGAGGCCATGGCGCAGTTCGAGCTGTGTCAGCGCGACACCTACATGCTGCTGGTCTGGGTGCAGAACTTCTACCCCAAGTGAGGGGGCGCTGGGGCCTCGTGGGCAGGGAGGGGCCCGGTCTGTGGGAGGGGGTGTCACCTGTGCAGGCAGCAGGCTTTTAGCGAGGTCACTGCCAGCAGAGTCCTGGGGTTGGGGGGGTGATGGGAGAAGGAAGGGACAAGGCCTGGACTCAAAGGGGCAGGGCCTGCACGGAGTCTGTTTTGTACTTGGAAGCCTTAATTTCCTGGGCCTCAGCCACATTCCGCAGTTGGGGAAACTGAGGTGCAGAGAATGGCAGGGACTTCATCATTCATTCATGAGCTCCCAGTCTGGGGAGGGCGTGAGGCAGACAATCCAGAGCAGGAAGGGCAGTGGCAGAGGAGGCCAGGGACTGTGAGAGCCCGGAACAGGGTGAGCTGCTGAAGCCAGCCCAGAGGAGGACGAGAAGGTGTCAAATTCTGCCACCCGCAGGAACCACCGTCCTGCTCTGGGGCAGCTCACAGTCTAATAGAAGTAAGGGAGTCAGGCAGGGGAGGGGAGAGGGCAGGCAGGGCAGGAGGGAGGATGGTGTTCTCAGCAGAGGGAGTCATCTTCCAGGGCCTGAGGCTGAGCCGGGAGACATTCGGGGAGTTTGTCAGTGTTTGGGTTTACCCAGCAAGCTATGGGGCACTCCCAGGCAGGACAGTGAGCAGGGGTGGAGTAGGGCCATGTGGCCTGTTGGAAAGATCCCCGTTGTGCTAGGTCTCTCAGTGAGACCATGGCAGAGCTGGGTTCTGGCCACTGAGGCCTGGAGCGCCTCAGGTGGGAGGCTGGCTGTGCCAACAGAGGGTACCTGGTACCAGCTGGGACAGACTCAGACAGCCCCGGAGTCTCATTACCCACGCTCCATGGGTCCCTGAGCATGCTTGTCATTTGCACAAGCTGGATGGGGAGAGAGTTGTATTGCTGTGTGGAAATGCCCAGGGTGTGGGAAGCCAGGGGTTCCTATAGGGGCTGCCCCCAGCCCTGAGTGCAGGAAGCCTGAAGGTGTAGGCAGTGTGAGCAGTGTCTGAGGATCTCAGAGACTCATCTGGGTGACCAATGGGCTCAGTTGGTGCTGGTCGGTCAGCCTCCAGCGGGGGGACCTGGAGGAAGGGCCCCATGGGGGTGGTGCGTGAAGAGTCAGCAGGGCATAGGGAAATTGGAACAGGGCAGGGGCTGTAGGAGAGACAGGCCAGCCCTGAGCTGGTTACTTCTTGCTTGTCCTGACTCACCAGGAAATGCCAGGCACCCGCACCTCTGAGGTCAGCCTTCCTGTCCCAGTGACCTAGGGGGCTTTTAGGCCGGGGCCCACTGGGGTCAGCGCAGCAGGAAACTGAGGCCAGCTGGGCACAGAGCCCTGGGGAGGGGGAGTCCAGGGAGGCATTGTTGAGGCCTGGGTGGCTAGAAGTGCAGAGAGCAAAGGGACGCAGCTGTGTCCAGGCTGGAAGAGGGGCACAGAGGGCCATTCTGGACCTTCCAGGCAGACTGGTCCCTGGGGGCGTTGGGATCCCACAGAGGCGCCACGAGAGTAAGTGGAGATGCCTCCATGGACCAGTTCAGAGGGGAGGGGGACAGCCCTTCCTGTGTGGACTGGCCACCCTTTGGGGGCAGCAGGGCCAGCCTGGGGGGTGGGTGGCACAGGGCTGGAGGGCAGTGAGGGGATGGAGTGGGAAGGAGGCAGAGAACAACCAGCTGGACTCATGGCTGCTGCCCTGAGGTGGTGGGTTTTATCTGTGTGAGAGGGGAGGCCTTAGAGCAGGGAGGGGATCCGATCTGAAAGGTGGTTCTGCCCGCTGGGTGGAGGAGGGATCGTTGGGGGTGAAGGCGGAAGCAGGGAGGCAAGGAGCCAGGTGAGAGATGGTGATAGCTGGGCATCAGCCCATGAGGTTGAGGCTGATCAATTGTGGGAGTGTATTTTGGAGCAGGAGAGGATGGAGAGTGGGAGAGTAAGACGAGGCACCATGCTTCCAAGGTTTTGGCCTGAACCAAACCGGTTAGATGGAGGACTCATCATCTGAGATGGAGAAGCAGAGATGGGGGTGGATTGGGGGAGAGGGCAATATCAAGTTCTGGGCCTGCTGGAGACCCACGCTGAGGAGGTGGGCTCCTGCTTGAGTGATGGTGCTGAATGGGCACAGGTTTCCTTATGCCAGCCCCCTCTGCCCACAGTGAAATCATCAATAGCCCCAAGCTGGCGCGTGACCTCCAGGGCGTCGGGCTTGGGAGCCTCCTGCCCTCCAGGCAGATCCGGCTGCTGGAGGCCACGTTCCTGTCCAATGAAGTGGTGAGTCCAGCGCCAGGGCCGGCACAAGGGAGGGGTGGGAAGGAAGCGGAAGGGAGGCTCGGGGACAGACAGGACGTGGGTAGGGAACCTGATAGGGACTTCCATGTGGGCAGGGTGATGGGCTCTGGGCTACCCTGACCTGCCCCTCCTCCCCCCAGGCCAGTGTGAAGGAGATGATGGCCCGTGCCCTGGACCTGGAGTCGAAGCGCTGGGCCCAGGATGTGGCCCCTCAGAGGCTGGACGGCCACTGCCACAGTGAGCTGGCCATCGACATCATCCAGGTAGCACAGCCTGCCCCTCGTGCACACACACAGCCCGTGTGTGAGCCCGCGGTGCAGGACGCAGAGCCCACACTCGTCAATCCTTGTGTGCACACACATGCCCGCCTCTGAGCACCACCCGCTGTGTTCCAGCATACTGCCTCTGCCCCTGCCCTAGTCCAGGTGGGCCCCTGCTCAGCTCCCCCTCCCCCCTGCAGATCATCTCCCAGGGCCAGGCCAAGGCCGAGGAAATCACCCTGGACCTGGGCATGCAGATAAAGCACATGCTGCTGGTGGAGCTGGTTGTGTTCCTGAGGAGGTGGGTGTGTGTCCTCGTGTGCTCAGGAGGGGGTTCCTGCAGCCACCTCTCTCAGAGCCACCGCCCCTCCCTCATGCCCCAGGTGGGGATCCAAGCTAGATCAGCACCCTCTCCCTGCCCCTACGGTGTCTGTCATTGGGGTAGAGCAGGAGTGCTCTACCCCAAGCCTGCCCCACGCACCCGGGCACCGAGCCTCAGGTGATCTGACCACCCCCTCAGGAAAGCTCCCAGCTGAGCAGCCTCCAGCTGCAAAGAGGATGCCCCATGAGGGATGGGACCCTGGCCTCCCCTCGAGTGACACCCCCAGTCTCCACCCTCACAATTCTCTTGGCTGCCTGCCTCTTCACCTCTGAGAACTCCCCCATCCACCCTCCATCCCTTCCAGTATTCCAGCTCTAGAGGGGGCCTGGGGGAAGGAGTGGGGGCAGCGGAGCCAGCCTGGCACCCTCTTCAGGAGCTCTGTAGGGGCCCTGGCTCTACCGACCTTAGCGTGTGAAGCCAGTTACACGATGCTAGGGCTAGCGGCCCGCCCTGGGCTGTGGGGAGTCCATCAACCGGAAAAGCGCTTTGTAAACCCCGGGAGGCTGGTCTGGCAGGCTGGAGGTTGCTATTGTCCCAGGATTTGTGCTGGTCCCAATGTGCCCTTTCCCGTTTCACCAGCTACCAGCGCGCCTTTGATGAATTTCTGGAGAGGTGCAGACTGCTGAGAAATTACAGGGCCAATGTCATCGCCAACATCAACAACTGCCTGTCCTTCCGGTGAGAGTGCTGGGAGGGGTGTGCGGAGCAGGAATCACTGGGCCCGCAGACCAGCTGGAGGGAAAGGGGAGCCGAGGCGGAGGGGCGGGGCAGGGGTGGAGGAGGGAGTGGGAGGAGCAGCCTAAGCAAAGATGGGAATTAGAATGAGCCAGGCCTATGGGGAAATGAGCAGGGCCTGCAGCCCGAGCAGCTGCAGATCTTTATCAAGCGCTGGGAGGCAAGGCATTTTGTGCAAACGATTTGCTCCTTATAACAACCCTGTGAAGTAGGTACGGTGATTATGGGCATTAAGCAGATGAGCAAACCGAGGTGTGGAGAAGCTGAGGAACTTGCCCTCGGTTAGAAGAGGCTGTGGTGTAGGTGTGTGCTGGGGCGAGAAGGCTGGGCCCCGTCTGGGGAACATGGATGGGATGACCTGGACTTGCTCCCACAGGGAATGGGGAGCCATTGAGGGTTCTAGAGTGGAGAACTGGTTTAGGAAGATTTGCCTAGGGAACTGGCTCTGTGGGTATGGGGCTGAAGGCTGGGCAGGGCTGGTGTGACCTCCCAACCTCCATCCACGTCCTTCCAGGACATCCATGGAGCAGAAGTGGCAGACATCACAGGACCTCCCGAGCCACCTGCTGGGCCCGCTGAGTGAGCTCAAGAGTCACGGCTTTGACAACCTGCTCCAGAAGCTGTTTGAGGACCTGAAGGTAGCTGGAGTCTCCTTCCCAGTGGAACATGCTGAAGCGAGTGCTGGGGGGACGTGGGGAGAGGCTGGGAGGGTGCTCCAGGGGCAGGAACAGCAGATGCAAAGACCTGGCACGTGGAAGTCATGGTGTGGGCACAGCCGTCATGAGGCTGGTGCTGCCCAGGTGATGGGGCCATGGAGAGCTCCTGACCTTACCCCCACCCCTTCAGCCTAGGGCTCAGCCTCAGAGGGGCCGCCCAGGGCTGGGAGGGCGCAGAGAAGAAGCCTCAGTGCCCCTCCCCCATTTAGACTCAGCGCAGTTCCCCAAGTTTGCACACTTTTCCTCCAGCTCTCCCAGACCCTCCTGCCCAGGCGCTGTCCCCGTGCCTAACTCCCAGCTGTGGCAACCAGAGCCTTTGGCAGCCACCGCCACATCCGCTGTGGGCCAAGAAATCCACAGAATCCCCTGGATACCTTTAGCAGAGGGTGAGGCAGGGGGCCCTGGAAAGAAAGAAGAGGGGTTCCCTGCCCGCCCTCCTTGGGAGCCCGCCTTGTCCCCACTTCCCAGGGCCGGAGACGATGGGTGGCCAGTAGTGGTGAAGGCCGGTCTGTGACCCTGGATGGTTTGGCACTGGTCCTCACAGGCCCGGCCAAGCACAAGGCTTTGTTTATGCAGGAATGTATTTATTTAAGAGGGGGTCGTGGAAGAGGCCTCAGGGCAGGCTGACGGCTGTCCTGGCTCCAGCCAGTCAACCTTGGAGAAGGGTACACAGACTCTGCCTCCACTTCCTGTCTGTGAACAGGGACCCGAGTTCTGCCTGGTCCCCTGAGAGACCTTGAGATCCCCTCGCCCCTGCGCTGGGCCACGTGTGGCAGTGCGTGTGCGTGTGCGTGTCTGCGGCTGGCGGCCCTTCCTCTGCAGGGCGTGACCAGGCATCCTGCCCCTCTCCTGTTGCAGCCGCTGTTCAAGAGGTTCACGCAGACCCGCTGGGCGGCTGCCCGGCAGACCCTGGAGGAAATCATTGCCACCGTGGGCGAAAGGCTGCCCGAGTTCTTGGAACTGCATGACTGTTTCCGGGAGGTGAGGAGGTGCTGGGCTGGTGGCTGGGCCTGGGGGGGTGGGGGCGCAGACTGGACATACATGCTAACATTTGTGTGTACATGCACACCCACAGACACGTGCACGCCCACAGACACGTGCACTCATACACAGACACACACGCATGCACTCCTTTGCTCTGGCCTCTGCCCCTCCCTGGACTCCTGGCTTCGAGGGCGGTGGCGGCTCCCTGTCAGTGCATGGCTCACATGCCCCTGCCTGCTCGCCCACCCAGGAGCTCATGGAGGCGGTCCACCTGCACCTAGTGAAGGAGTACATCATCCGCCTCAGCAAGCGGCGCGTGGTTCTCAAGACAGCTGAGCAGCAGGAGGAGCTGGCGGGGCACATTCAGGCCAACGCCAAGCTCATCCAGCAATTCTGCATGCAGAACGTAAGCCCCTGCCTGCCCCTCCCAAGCCCCACTGGGATGGGCTGCCCCTCCCCGTGCAGGTGCCCTGAAACCTGATCAGTTCTGCCCTGAACCTCTGTGGATCCCTGGGTGCCCTTCCGGGAGAGGGCAGCCTCCCTCTGACCAGGCCTCTGCCTGCAGGGCTCCCCGGCAACCTGGCTGCATCACGCCCTCCCCACGCTTGCCGAGATCATTCGCCTGCAAGACCCCAGTGCCATCAAACTCGAGGTGGCCACTTATGCCACCTCTTACCCAGACTTCAGGTGAGAACAGGGGCACCACAGGACCTGGGCAGTCACATGGCCTTGCTGACCGCACTAGGATCAGCCCCTTCGGGACGGTTGGAGCGCAGATGCTGGCCCTCACGATGCAGGGCGGGCAGCTGACCTCTGCAAAGTGCTCGCCGTATGCCGGGCACCACGCTAAGATCTTTACAGTGGCTTGTTTGATCCTCACTGCAACCCTCTGAGGCTGACACTTTTCATCCCCATTTTACAGATGAGGCCTGGAGAGCTTAAGGAACATGTCCAGGGTGACACAGCTAGTCAGTGGAGGAGCCAAGATGACAAAGCCAGGTAGTCTGGCTCCTCAAACCACACCCTTAGCCTTACATGCTACTGCCCCTCAGAGGGGAAACTGAGACCAGAGAGACCAGGGGCCTGCTAGAGGCCGTGGCAAGTCAGTAGTCAAGCTGGGGTTTACCACTCTGCCTAAGGTTCCTCAGGAGCGTGGATCTATGCCCTGGGCCCTGGAGCTCCCATTCCGGAGTAGAGGCTTAGCCCCTGGCTGCTTGACGATCTGGTGAGCCAGAGAAATTGCTTCTTTGGGCTGAGTCCTTTGACATGGTAGGGAAAGTTTGGACAGGCCTTGAGTTGGATTGATCTGGCTTAGCCTAGTCCAGCTCCTTGCTAATCCACTCCACCCATCCATCTACCTATCCACATACCTACACACTCACCTCTTCATCCACCCACTCATACAAGCACCCATCTCCCACCCATCTAGCTATCCATCCATCTGCCTACCCACCCATCTACTTATCTATCCATCCATCCATCTGCTCACCCACCCATCTACCTATCTATTCATCCACCCATCCCAACAACAATTATTGAGTGGTCTCCTGCTAGGTGCCAGGCTCTGTTCTAGGCATCGGGATGCAATGAGGTACAAGACAGATCAGGTTTCAGTCATCCTCATGTAGCTTAGAGCCTACTGAGGGTTAGCAATAATGAGGTAATCATTCAAAGAAATACAGTTGCAAATTGTAAAGATTGTTTAACCAAGGTGGTGATGACAGGAGGTGCTGACTTGAGAGATGGGGAAGCCTCCTGGGGGTGGTGACATTTTAGCTGAGACCTAAATGGTGAGAAGGAGCTGCTCATCTCAAGAGTGTGGGAAAGAGCATTCCAGGAGGAACAGCCAGTGCAAAGGCTTGAGGTGGGCAGGAGCTTGGTGTGCTCTAAGGACGGACAGATGGCCAGTGCTGCTGGAGCACAGTGGGCAAAGGAGAGTGAGGCGCCCTCGTGGGCAGGGGGTTGGATGCAGGGCCCTGTGGCTCTGGCCAGGAGTCTGGGGAGCTGGGAAGAGGTATGAGCAGGGAATTGGTGACAGGGCTGGACTGACAGGACGCTCTTCTTGCCAGCAAAGGCCACCTGGGTGCCATCTTGGCCATCAAGGGGAACCTGTCAAGCAGCGAATTCAAGAGCATCCGGAGCATTCTGGACATTGACACAGGGGCACGTGAGCCTTTCAAGTCCCTATTTTCACTTATAAAGGTTGGTTAGCTTTTCCAGCGGCCTGACCTGCTTGTGAGCACCCGGCGAGCATCGGACATCACCCCGCTTAGGGGCTGTTCAGAGCAGCGCTGGCTTCACGGCCCCTCACAGGCTTCCTGCCATCTGCTGCTGCTTCTGTCCAGCCCTGGCCAAGGTGTAGGCCCCTGGGCAGCTGGAATTGGACAGGCCCCGGTTTGTTTACCTGTCTAGTGGGGGCAGATCATCCCTTGTGGGGAGCCAAGGAGGCAACACCCGAGGAACTCTTTGTAAATGACAGTCGGTCATGCGTGCACTGAAGGAGGGAGCCAGGAGGGAGAGTGGCCAGGGGTCAGAGACCCTGGGTCACCTTCTGTCCATGGGGCTGTTCCACAGTCTGCCTCATAACTGTCCTCCCCGTGGCTGGGTCTGAGCCTCCCCAGCTGCCTAGGGCCAGGGGCCGAGCCTCACCCGTCCTGCATCCTTTGGCCCAGGCTGTGATGGGCTCATCAAGTCTGCAATAGAAGGCTGGAAGGGAAAGAAGGAACCCATGAACTCTTATCTGGGGCCTGGAAAGGGGTGTGTGGGGTCACATGGTGAGCTGGGGGCAGAGCTAGCATCAGAGCCCCCTCCAGATTGCCCCCCAACCCCTGCGGCTCAGACCCCGACACCTCTCTGCATTCCTCATCGGCTTCCCCTGAGGATGGGCCCAGGAGGACCAAGGACCTCCTGAGTGTCCCCAGGTTCAGCCTGCCCCCACGCATGAACAGGCTCAGTGGTGCCCCCTTGAGTCCTCCACCTGGAAGTCAGGCTGAGGTCTGGTCAGGCAAGCTTGACCTCTGACCCCTTGGCATCTGTGTTAGTTTCCTACGGCTGCTGTAACAAATTTCCGGAAACTTAGAGGCTTAAAACAAGAACCTGTCTTTCAGTTCTGGAGGTCAGAAGTCTGACAGGAGTCTAGTGGGCTAAAACCAAGGTGTTGGCAGGGCTGGTTCCTTCTGGAGGCTTTGCAGAGGAATTTGCTTTCTTTTTCCAGTTTTTAGAGGCCACTCATATTTCTTGGTCCGTGGCCCCCTTCCATCTTCAAAGCCAGCAATGGCCAGTTGAATATTTTTCACATCACAGACCTCAGCCATCCACTTCTGCCCGGCTCCTCCACTTTTAAGGACACTTTTGATGACTTTTGGCCACCCAGATCATCCAGGATCAGCTCCCTATTTTAAGATCAGCTGACCAGCAACCTTAATTCTACCTGCAACCTTAATGCCCCCTGGCCATAGAACCTAACACAGTCACGGGTTCCAGGCATTAGGATGTGGGCATCTTTGGGGGGCTATTATTTTGCCCACCACAGCCTCCATCCATCCCCTGCCCTGTAGGGCGCCTTGTTCGACCCCAGGGAAACATGGTTCAGTTACCCTCCGAGGCCTCTGCCTACCCCGAAGGCCCTCTCAGCATGAGAGTGGGCACTTCAGACCCAGGCATGCCCCAGCTGCAGGGGGCCCCGATGGGGTCTGGAACCAGCTCTCTTGGGTTTGTCCCCCTCTTTCAGGTACTGTGGCCAGGATCTGGCCCATGTAAATGGTGCACAAAGGCCCTTGTACATTTGTAGGAATTAGTGTGTTTGATGTTATTAATATTATTTTTGATAGTACTGCTTTTGTATATGTGGACTCGAGACAGGATCCGAGTTTTTATAGCTTGATATAAAGCTGATTTCCAAAGTGGCTGTGGACTGATTTATTTTGGGAGCAGGGATAGGGCATCAGCGGCTTTCTCAGTCTCTTGGGGTCTGGTCAGACCCTGTCCCCCCAGGCTCTGTGTCGAATCCCCACTGGGGCCCCAATGAGTCCAGCCCCACAGCCCTCCTGCCCCCTTCTCACCTGTGAGCATGAGCTTGGGAAGGGTCTCCCCGTGGGGCATGGCCAATCACTTCACCTTTCTGCACCTCAGTTTCCTTACCTATAAATAGGGGATCATGGGTAGGTCAGGCCTGCCCCACAATCCTTTACTGAGGATGAGGGGGGTGGACTCCAGGTAATCATTTTAACTCCATGCATAGGGCCCAGTGGGAACTTACTCTTATATTCCCGGAATTGATCTTGGAAAGCTACAAGTGTGATCAGGAGAGCTCACCATCTGTGTTCAGCAGTGGCCCGCATTGCCAGGGAAGGGCTCTTCACACCTCCATCCTGGCCCAGGATTTGGGGAAGGGCAGAGTGTCTGGGGAGGGAAAGGGGTGCCTAGAGAGTCCACTCCACAGAGCGAGGGAGGGCCCAAGGGATCCCCATGTGGAGTCTGGGGGCCTGCCAGAAGGGCCTGGACGTCAGCACTGGGCAGAGGGGGCTGGAGAGGGGGAGGGGAGTTCCTTTCTGGTGAGTTCCATCCGTGGGGCTGATGGGGATCGGATGGAGCCCGCCGCGCAGTTGGCAGCAAGGAGGAAGGAGGATGGCAGCCCTAGGAGACCCTCATCAAGGGGCCCTCGCGGTTGGACTGGACCCACCCGTCCACGTGGCTCTGGGTGCGGGATCCTGGCGGGTTTGAGGCTCTCCGGGAGCGACGGCCCGGTGGGATTCCTGCTCGTTCCTCTTGCGGAGCACGGGGGTGGGGGTGGGGGTGGGGGGGTCGGGAAAGGGGACATAGCACGCCCCACCCTCATGGTACCGCCTGGGCGCGCCGGGAGAGAGAGGGGACCGAGGACCCAATGGGAGTTTTAAAAGGATCGGGGCAGACATGAACCGACCTAAGGGAGTGGATTTAGCTCCGAAAGTGCCTCGCTGCGGCTGGGGCGGGCCGGGGTCCTCGGAGCGCGGCGGGCGGCGGCAGCGACCCTAGAGCCGGGCAACTCCCCCGGGTCTCCCGCGCGGCTCCTCTCGCCCATCGAGCCCACCGCCCTCGTGAGGGGCCGGCTCCAGTCCCGGCAGGCTGAGCGCGAGGAGGAAGGGGAGTGGGCGGCGGCGCCTCGGCGGTTCCTGCTGTTCCTGCTGTTCCTGCTGCCGAGAAGGGAGGAGGAAGCGCGAGGTCCCGCCCGGATCACCAGCCCCGGCCACCACCGCGGGTTCTACATCAGTAACTTCCCTGTTCCTGCAGGAAAATCCCGTTAAGGGAAGGATTTGCCCCAGAGTGGAAGAGTGAGTCACTTGGCGCAGAGGACAGAGGGGGAAAGCCAGGACAGGGGGCCCTCTGCAGCCACTTGCTCTCCGTTTGTACAAGGACTTGGGGGCCCCAGCCCCCCCATCCCCACCCCGCTCCTGTGAACGGGAAGGGAAGCCACAGTCCATGGTGGGGGGCAAACATTGATGGGGTCCTCCAACCCTCCCCCAAGCCCTGCTGGGGGAGAGGCAGTGGGGAGAGCTGGCTAAGGCCTGCCCTGAGGGCCGACTTCCTGGAGGCCCGCAAGAAACACAGAGCAAGTAAATAAACAGTCTGGGTTCAGGTGCAGGGGGTTGATGGCATGGGGGTGACTCAGTGGAGATTAATTCCCGGCAGTTCTAGCTGTGGCCATGGGGAGTGCTCACTGATGGGGGGACCACGGGTTGGGGACCCCAGACTTGAGGAGGCCGCTTGCACAGACCTGGACAGAGCAGTGCAGGGGAAGGAACAGCTGGGTCAAAGGCCAGGAGGGAGGAATTGGGAAGAGTCTGTGTTTTAGAAAGAGAGAGCTCTGAGGGCTGGGGTGGGTGAAGGTGGGCAGCAGAGCCAGACCCACCACGGAAGCAGGCAGGGGGCTGGGGCAGGGGTCTGAGGGCCTTGCTTGGGGCTGGGAGTTGGGGATCCCTCCAGCTGTAAAGGGAAAGCATTGGTGGGTTTTGAAGAGGGAATTTGGGGCTGATACGCTGTATGACTTGAAAAGACCCCTCTGGCTGCTGCATGGAGAATGGGGGCCAGATGGGAGTCCAAGAGACCTCTTAGGAGATGCTGGGGTTCCCCGGGGGAAAGACGACGTCGAAGGCGAGGGCTGTGATGTGGAGGGAGACGAGGTTGGCTCTGGGGTGGGGTGTGAGGGAAGAGAAAGCCCCTGAACCACTGGAAAGACCCTAATCAAGCCAGGGGGACGGGCTGCTTCTCAGATGGGGAAGGCCTGGGGGAGAGGGGAGAGTGCCCAGGAGAAATTTGGGGAGTTAAGTTTGAGAGGTCCATGGAAAGGGGGTGTGGCTCGTTAGATTGTCTGAAACCCAAGTGGGTGACAACACTCTATATGTGAGGCTGACGGCTACCAGGCGCTCTCACTTGGCGCTCTGGAGTGTAATTTTGCACAGCCCCTGTGGAAGGCCATTTGGCAATATCGGTCAAGCCAACAAATACACCTGTGAACCAGCCATCCCCCTTCTAGGAATGTATCTCAGCAGTACTCTAACATCCATGCAAAACGACACAGGTACCAGGCTCCTCACTTCGATTGTAGTAGGAAGAATGTTGGAAACTCCCTGAATGTCCATCGGGAGACACAGGAGAAGGATCACAGTGTGCCCGAACAGTGGGCTCCTGTGCAGCTGTGAAAGAGAATGGGAAGTTCTCTGTTCTGATGCAGAAATTGTTCCAACATATAATGTTAAGGAGAAAAAAGCACAATGCGGAACAGTTTGTGGTGTGCTGCCTTCAAATAAATAAAAGTGGAAAAAAAAATATATATATACATTTGTATTTGCCTATGTGTGCGTTAAGGCAGCCTGGAAGAAAATACTAGCTAGGAACTAATAATAGTGGTTATTTGTGAGTGTCTGTGTCCACAGGTGTGTGTGCATGGGGGGGGAGGAAAGGAGGAGGGAGAGGGAGGGGGAGGGAGGCAGAGATTGGGAAAGAGATATTTCATTGTACATTTTAATTTTTATTATTGAATCATGAACGTGTTCTATATCAACACTGTGTAATCTGACACTTAATTGAGAAGTGGAAGCAAGTGTTTCTGGAGAAGAGAGGGGATGAGACTTGCGTGTCTCGGGCGTGGGATTCTCCAGCAATGCTGAGTGCCTGTTTGAAGTGGGTTCATCAGCAGCTTGGGATTTTCTCTAGCCAAGTTCAGTGCTCAGGTGCCCGCCTGAAGTCCCAGAGTCGGGTGTAACTGAGAACAGAGTTGTGGTCAGGTCCCCAACAGCTCTTGACTCCCCCATCTCTGCTCTGTGCCCGTGGCTCTGCTGTCTCTGAGGGGCCTTCCGTTGCCATAACAAAGGGCCCGGGCTGTTAGCTGAGCAACTTTCTCAGTCTTTGTATCATTTGGGGTC